TGTGCTCAATCCGCCAGGCGAGCGCGGGCTCAAAAAGGAACTCGAGTAGCATGAGTAGCAATGTCGAAACAGCGCTCGAATCACAAAGGAATGCTAACCCAAAGCATTTCGAGCATTCAAAAGTTTTTTTTTTTTTTTTTGGTGAACAGTCTTAGTCATTTGCCCCCAATTGTCTGGTAGGAGTGTTGACCAAACAACTTCTAGCATACAAGAGAAGATGTGTGAGTGTGAGACTAGATGTTGCCCAAGAGAATGGAAGCTTTCGGCACCGCAGGGAATTTTCAATAAGCATCATGACAGGCTTGAACTAGAGGGAGGACTTGAGTTGTGGCCAAGACTCGGAATTTGCAATGAAGGATTGAGCTTTCGGACCGGAGGATCGCTAAGAACTTGGAAAACTTTAACATGCGGACCCAAGGGAGAACAGAGAGCATTATAGCACAAGGAAGGCTTGAACACTAGGGGATACATAGAGTGAGAAATTAAGTGTGACACAAAGGGACCCAAGCGCGGGAGAAGGACAACAAATAAATAAATAGGAAGTAAATCTTGAGAGTCCTCAAATCATTGACAACGTTGGCAAAACAAACTGTCATTATTACTATTTTTGTTGAAACAACTCATAACTGTGTTTAAGTTATAACAAAGTTCTAGCTCAGAGCAGGCTCGAGCTATGGTGTAAAACTGCTACTTTGAGTTACGAGGGATGCTGATCCGAAAGGTTGCTCGAGCAATCATTATTATTTAAAGAGGATAATATATCCATATAGTATATATTTTATTGCACGTTAGTATAGACTTAAAGACGAAGTCTCAGACTACACAATGCCAGTAAAAAAGATGTGAAAAGATGTGTGACAACTCACTAATGTAATAATAGCTGACATGGTACTATAAAAACAGTAAAGAGAAAGAGGATTTGATGGGTAAATGACACAAAAATGAATAAATTAATTAAGAATTGTTTTTTTTTTATGGGTTCAAGTTGAACTTTTCCAAAGACTGATATGCACAATTGTTTTGATACATATGCAAAATATAAGTCAGGTCAATCATTATATTTACCTTTGTTTTTTTTTTTTTTTTTGTTAACTAGCATTATATATATTTTATTAGTAACAATGAATTCAGATCAGGGAGCTAATTAGACTTATGTTTAAATTGAAAACAAGTAATGTCAAGTGTATAAATAATGAAAGTTAAAATAAGTGATTTATCAACCATTCGAAGCTTATGCAGCAATGGTCAAAGAAAGACATTCAATCTTCACTTCTACTATTAGTTTTAATTTTTATTTAATTATTTCTACTGTAGCTTTATGGAGTTGTAGTTGGCTATAACTACATAAGCTTTGAAGCAAAGCTGAGGTTTATACAATACAGTGTAATAGCTTGTCTTGGCCAGTTCATGGCGTGACTGGGCCAAAGTAGCAATTGTCATTTTAGCACATGCAAAACTGTGTGCATAGGGTAATGGGTAGACCAACAAGGTAGTACAAGCAACAATGCGGAAAGTGTCTAACATATGTCACAGATATGTGTAATACATGTGCAAAAAAGGAGTTACAGATGGGTAATGTAATGTAACAATAAAAATAATAGAAGAAAATACTTATTATAATTAGAGAGGTGAAAATGGGAAATGACCTCAAATAAGTTAGTCTTTACATGAATAAAGACTTGTAAGGTTTTGTGCCGCAGGACAATTTAAATAGCCAACGGATAAAAGTTAGCAGGGTGAGTGACAAATGAGATTCTTGTGGAACTCTTTACACTTGAATAGGCTGTCAAATGTGTGGTGATTTATTGATTTCTCCTCTATGTTTTTAATACTATGGTGAGCCTGTCAAACTGGTGAAAAGTTACAGAGTAGGTGGTGGCAGGTGCCATACATCTCTTATCAAAAAAATGTGTATGAAAAGATTAATCAAGCAAAGTACACAATATATATATATATATATATATATATATATATATATATATATGAACAATAGAGATATATATATACGCATTCAATTTTTATATGTGAAGAGATTAGGACAGTATAACCTTTCTTTATCATCATTATGGGTAAAGGAAGACTGATATATATACTGGGGCCCTCGACTCTGCATATGGCCTTTTTACAAAACCCGTTTTAAGTCGAGGCCGGACTAAGGGAAGTGGGTTGCTCGAGGTGTCATGCTTTGAAGGGAAGAGATGCTGCCTTAAGAGAATTGGCCATTTTTTGAACTAGCACACATGAGACCCGCGAGGGATCGACCAAAAAATAGCGAAGAAGATAATGATTTTCAGATAGACAGATAAGTTTCATGACTAAATAACATGGCATGCTATATCAGTAGAGATAAAACAAAAATCTAAAGATAAACATGTCGGTTTGAAACTAGAGCAAGCAATAAGAAATTGAGTTGGGAACGAAATCACCGTTTTGAAGCAATAGATTCTCTTGCAAACTCGACATTGATGGAATGCTCCTCCCCAGCAGAGTCGCCAAAATGTTGATGGTAGTTCGTGAATAGGATGAGGAGATCATTCCACGTCTTTCGGGAATGCTGAAATCAGAGACTGAGTGGAGCTCCGAGCTAGCACAAGGGATTCTCCATAGAGGAGATTAAGAGAGAGAAGGCAGATTTGCTTAACACCCATGGTAGCGCGAGTCCTAGGAGACCATTACTTATGGTTATAGTTAGGGTGGTGTATATATATTTTCAGCCCTCGCTTTAAAATGGTGAAGGTTAAGCCATATTTATACTACTCCATTTGGGTAAGGACCGTTGGTCATGACAGCTAACTTCCTTTTTATCCAATGGTCGCTTTACTTAGTTAAGGACACTTGGTTATGATGGTAGCTCTTTCTTTATCCTATAGTCATTATATAAGATATATATTTAATGTATTATGTGGTCTCAAGTACTCGAGCTCAGCTAATGGGTGTTAAACATTCTCTCCCCCTTGTGTAGACCTCGAAGTGAGGCGATTCCTTGGAACTCAGCCACCTAACCACTGATACTCAGATTCCCGTAACTGAAGTTAGGGAAAGACCCTTCCTCGGGGTTCCGCCTTCTCGGCTCTGCAGGCTCTATCCCAGCTCTGTGTCTCGAGGTCCTTACAGTTAAAGGGAGCTCGAGAAAAAAATGCCCGAGGTTACACCTGCAGGAAGCAACCTCGGAAAAGAGGGGAGGAGGGGCCCATCCGACTGGAGCGGGGCGCGTCCACAGAAGAGGAAGGGTAGCGACCCCTTCCTCGGCTAGTGAGTTCAGTTATAGGACGAGTAGCTCGAGGATACTGTCCTTCAGGAGCACGCCAGATAAGTATTGGCCAAGTGTGCTTATTTTCAGAGATGGTGCCACTTGGGCAAACGTCGGGGCACGTATATCAACACCCTTTAACAAATAAGCTCAAAACGAACAATATGGAAGAGTTTTCTATTTGATCTTCCAAAAAAATTGAAAGAAGAATTAGGGTTTTAAAAGAAAATCAAATAAGTTTTAAACGAACTTGAAAATCGAACATTATTTACAGACCATTACTGGATTTCCAACCAAAAAACTACAAAAAAAAAAAAAAATAATAAATAAATAAAATAAAAATAAAAAACAGTCCACATGTTGAACTTTAATCAAACAAAAATGGGTCAAACGCGGTTTCTTCAAAGACGAACCACTGTCAAACGGGTAAAGAACTTCAGATCGGTGGTGGTTTCCCTGGTTTATTCAAAGATGAACCACTGTCAAACGAGTAAAGAGCTTCAACTCAAAAAAGCTTGGATCGATTGTCGTTTTCAGGCCCGAGCTACTGTGCAGTCAAGTCGCCCTAATCGCTAGAGGAGAGCTTCGCGAGATGCAACTCTAATTATTGCAACTTTTTCATTTTATACCTGCCCTAATTTGTTGCATGTTTGGCCACCAAGCAATAGCTCGAGCGGTATCTCCTCCACTTCCAATTCTCAATAGGTCACAAGTCCAAGTCATTGGGACAAAGTGAATGTATAAGGTACACACTGTATCTCATGTATTAGGGGAAATTGGAGAAAAAAAGAAAAAGAAAAAGAAAAAAGAAGAGCAGATACAGCAAAGAACACAAAAAAGCCTTTAAAAGCAAAAAATAAATGCATGCCAAGCCTGGAACTAAGCTACTAGGGATAACAGCATTTCAAAATAATAATATATGTATAAATAATAATAATAATAATCGGCAGATAAAAAGAGCCCTTTAAAATTTTGGAACATAAGGATCCCCCAAGTCAGATATCCATTCCCTGTCAGCCAACAATAAATTCAAGCCAATCTAGGAAATCCGATCAAATTTATTTGAAACAAAAGATGTATTTCATGAATAAATTGCGAAATTCTACATATGCTTTGAAAACCTTACTTTGCCTAACCAGCAACAATAAAATTTGCATTGGACAGAATACTGGTAAAACCCAATAGGCTTAGCTTTTATCTGACCAAATAAAAGTGGAGCATCTCTTTTTCTAACAGCATTCTCCATCCGAAAGTATGTAGAATTTAGTATAAGGAACTGAAAATTTCACCAATCCCTGTTTATTTGAACCAGCAAAAAAATGAACTACCAAAGCAACAGTCATAATCTCCATGGTAATAAAATTTACTCCAACAATAAGTCCCTAGGAAACATGAAAGCCTGAAGTGTAAGTTACAGAGAAAGATTTCCATATATATACTCCTGTAAGGCTTAAAAGCTAACTGAAGGTGAAGTACTTAACCCCTTGATCGCTACTGTGACGAAAAACTATATAAAAAGCTAAGCATGAACTAAGAGTGGCATTTGGAGGAATTTTTACGTAGACAATAAAATCATATGACTCAGGAAAGTTTCTAATGAACTAATGAAACTTAATTTATAAAATATACCATATAGACATATAGTCATCATAAACAGAAATAACAAATGGAATACAGTTAATACAATCAAATGATACCTTACACACCATGCTTCCGTTGTGTTCTTTGGATGCTATTTTTCTTTTTACAGGCAGTGATTCTTCCCCATTAATTAATATTTCATCTACATCTGGTGCTTCAATAGGAGGTACATTGCCAAAAACTTCTGTTTAAGCAAAATTCACATGCATAGACCAATCAGAATTGAAATCCATAAAAAATAAAGTATACAGGACATGTCAATGCTCTTGCCTTTTGCTCTTTTTCTTAGTTTTACTCTTCTTGCTTCAGCTGTTTGCTTTGGATGTCTTTTATCTTTTCACAGGCAGAGATTCTTCCCCACTGATTAATATTCCATCTACATCTGGAGCTTCATTGGGAGGTAAACCGCCAAAAACTTCTGTTTAAGCAGAATTGACACACTTCGACCAATCAGAATTAGACACCACAAAAGATCAAGTTTACAGGATTCCTATATATTCAGCACCCAAAAAAAAAAAAAAAAAGGGCAAGCACAACAAAGAAGAGGCGGAAAAGAGGAGCTAGCAGACTATCAAGCCAGGCAAGGGGAGAAGTCCAATCCAAACCTAACCCAAAGACAAGATCCGGAAAAGTCCATGATAGGACATGCAGCAGAAGTTTAACTCTTTGCATTGTAAGTGAAAACCAACAGATGCGATTGGTTCCTGTTCGAATTCATCAGAGAGAGAGAGAGAGACTGTGTATATTGTATATATCATTAGGATCAAAATCGTCTCCGGCGCAACAGTAAATCTGTTGCAACCGGTGCAGTAATTCCCTTGGGTAAAAGCCACAGGTTAAATATAGTTTTTGGTTTAAATACGAAAGGTATAATATTTGGTTTGGTTTATATACGATACAATACCTAAAACTCTCCCCCCTTAATTTGACGGCCCCTTTTGAAATTTGGAAGGCACGCCCATTCATTCAAATTCCACTTTCTATCTTCAAAATTCCATTTTTCTCTCTTCAGACAAATCAAACCTCTGTAACTCAAAAATCACACCATTGTTCATCACTAAGTTCGGATTTAGGGTTCTGTATTAGAAACAAAAAGAGCAAAACCAAGTATGTGATTTAGGGTTCTATTCTTTAACCTCTGTTGAGTTCCTATTGATATATGATAGAAAAGACCTCTCTCTATATTTTACTAAGGAGGGCTCGGCAAGAGAGAGCAAGAGAGGAAACCTAGAGGACGAGGAAGTGAGGGCTCACCGAAGTCATACAAGAAGATCAGTTCCACCGGATTGTCAAAGCTTTGGAGGTTCCGAGATCTATACACCAACAACGACAAGTTCATGTTGTATGCTTCTTCTTCTTCTTTTTTTTTTTTGATGTTTCTTAGCTTTTCAATTTATCTGATTTTACTTTCAATTGGAATTCCCCAATCAGTCGGATGTGGCATCGATTTGTTATCTATCTCGTTGATGGTGTTGAGATTGTTGAGTCTAGTCTGTTCTTTGGCTGGAATATTTCGACTCAACCGGGTTTCTCGTGTAGCTAGCGATGGTGGTGTTGGGTTTCTAGGAAATGGACGGGTTCGTGATCCGATTATCTCACAAAATCCCATCGATTATTGCTTCTCTCTTTCTCTATTTGATTGCAATAGAATATATATTTTTTAATATTTTTGCTCTGTATGATCATATATGTGCCAGGAAAAAAAAATCAAATATGCAAAATTAGATTTTGGATATGTTGTAGATTTTTCTTATTTTAAGAAAAAAGGTTTCCTTATGTTCCTATTTGAATTGTTCCTTCACTTTGTAGGTTGAAGGGGATGGGTATTCTCTTTATTGAAAAAGAGGAAAAAGGGGTCCTATGATGGAGGATCGATATTCAGCCCTTGTCGATGTTCAAGGAGATTCCAAATAGGTACTCTTTAGATGAAATTTTTTTGTTACTTTGTATATGTTTTTAAGAAAGTGAATTGGGAAATATCTCTCGTCTTTTAGTGGCAATTAAGTGAACTATGAAATATTTCATTGCATCATTCAGGAAGAGATGAGTATTAGAAATAATTTTGAGGGCTGAATTACATAATTTACCAATTATAGGAATTTGAAACTATTTTAGAAAGCAGGCAATTAGCCTCCCCAATTTTTTTCATGATAAAATCTAAGCATAAGAATTAGCCATTCTTATTTTTTTGGTCTTGAAGCACTAGTATTCTAATAATTAACTGGTTGTTGGTTGGTAATTGCTATTTTTGAAGAATATAGTAAGTGTTAATCATCATCAGCATCACTTATGTTACCAAGTATGGCCATGATTAGTTTTATTAAGTTGTGATTATGTCAGATCATTCAAAAAGATGATTAACCAATATAAACTGGTTGATGCTTCACTCTATATAAATTTAACAATGACATGATTTTCCTATAATTATTAGAGTATGAAACAAAAATGCAGAATGAATGGGCAGTATATCTAGCAGGCTTGTTTAATAGCAGACTCTACCACCTGTTGCATATCAAGTAGACTTATATGGGTATATTTTTAATGTTTATTTTGAATGTGAAGTATATTGATATATATATATATATTATTGTTGGCACAAGATTACTTATTGATTTTGTTTCTCTGTTTTGACCAATGGATAATAGAACCATCTTGGATTGATAAAAGCTTGTCCCATCTAAAAAGAGAAATATCAAGATATAGTGGAATAGTAAAACCATCAAGATACTTTTATTTTATGAAGTTGTGAAGATTTCTTTGTAATATTCCATTTCAATATAAGATGTAAAATACTTTTCTTTGTTGTCATGTTTATGATGCCAATTGCCTTCCCAAATTTATTTTTACCTTTTTGATGATTATATTCTAGGAATATAAATTACCGACTCGTTGGCTAAACAAGTGTATGCAAAACCCATATCCATTTATTTAATTTGCCTTACAACGATCCACTTTGGTTAATTAGTTCCTAAGAACACTTGTTTGTAATGATGTGATTACGTTGTGCTGTAGATATATTCATATGCCTTCAGTGGTAATCTCTTTCAACCTTGTTCTTCTGATACCACAACTACCTAACCTTTTCTTTATAAAATTTTCTATAAGTGCAGTTCAAGTTTATGAGATGTTACAAATTGGAGATAATATGAGTTTGAACATAAGAAACTAATTTTTAATATTCTATAGCTTTTTGTTATTAACTATCTTTTGGTTTTATGATTTTTAAGCCAATTATTTAATTAGAAGTAAACTATTAGTATTTTTAGCATGTATAGTTCTAACTCATTTTTAATTATTTTATTGGATATGATGATTGTTTGATATAACTTTCAAAACGAATCTGTTCAACATGTGGTTCATTGTAATTCAATCTCACTGATGGTGTTTTCTTTTCTTTTATTTTTACTTTTGAAAGAAAAACGAAAAAGAACATCTTTTCTAAATTCTAAACTTTGATTATTTATTAGTTCCATGGTTTTTTAGCATTTTGATTTTTTCCTCCTATCATTAAAATCAAGTGATAATATTGAAAGTTGCAGTTTAAAAAATTAAAATAGAAATAAATGTTTATGTTTTCAGTATTTGTTGTGCACTGCACCCCAACGAATGTTTGGTAGCTGTTCCTTAATTTAATTTTTCGTGGCCTATTTAAACTACATAATATTGACTTGGATATGTAATAGTCTTATAGTTTTAATCGTTTTGTGAATTTGATATTGGAGTTTTTTATATCTCAAGATTTTTAATCCAATCATGTGAAAACTGATGATCTATATTTTGTAATTTATTGGGTTTGTGCAAGGGTATAAGAGGCCATTGTGGGAGGATGTCTAAATTATGATGATGTTTACAAGGAGGTAAACCCCAAAAGGTGACTACCGGGACGGTATTACAAGGTTCAATGCTTTTGGATCAAACACAACTCTTGAGAGCAGTCGATTTAATGATGATGATCAAAGAAAGTTTAAAACCTTCTGTGTCCTACTTGATGATTTAAAGAAACCAGGGATTTTGATGCATTTGAATTAAAGAGTAGTCTGTAGTTATGTTTAGTTATAGCGTATTTGGATCATATTATTATGGTTGGACTAAATTTCAAATTATCTTTTTTTTTTTTTTTTTTTCCTTTCCTTTTTTGTTATTATCAAATTTAGAATCTAGTTGTAGTTATTTGTAACTTTATCTCTGTAATAGAGGTTTTGGCTTTTTGACAAGCTTTGCTCTTTGTAATGGACCATTAGTTTCAAAAGGTTACCTTTGAATGTGATGCATTGTCAGTGGTTGATATTGTCAATAATTATAGATATATTGGTAATGGCGTGGTAGTGATGTTGGAAAATATTATCTGAGGCATAGATGTATTAAGTAATGGCATGGTAGTGACGTTGGAAAACTTCCAACTATTGTTGCAGGAGCATATCTACGGATAAACATGGAAGTCTATGAGATGTTTATACACTATATGGAGCGTGCGTTTGGTGCCAAACCTTGTAAAATTGGATAACATCATCTGAGCATAACAAAACCTCTTTTATATATATATATATACACACACACACATAAATACATAAATACGTATTGATGTATATATATCAGTTTGTACCAATATTCATTATGCATCCCAACTTTCTCCTTAACAACATCCTAACCTTCTCTTTAACAACATTCCAACCATCTATTTCTCTTTTTTTTTTTAGTTGAATGGGTAAGCTTTTTTAAAAGAGACAAAGATTTACGAGTCCAAAGCTGGACAAATGAACCTTAGAAGTGCCCTTGTGTTCTTTTCTTGCCAAATGAAATAGATAGCTGCAAAGAGAAGAAGTTTATGAGTGAGCCATTTACCATCATACCATGAGACCAATTATAAGAACACCAATCAATGAGCTCTCTCCAACTGTTAGGCTTGGTGTAGAAGCCTGCCACATGCTGAATGAACTCCCAAATTACACAACTGTATCTGCACTTGAAGACCAATGATTCCTAGTCCGCAAGGTGATAACAGGCATTGGTGTAATGTTTTTTCTTTATTACAATAGAATCAAGAGTATATAGCTTCTCTTTGAGTGATCTATTTCTCTTGTTTGGGATACATATTAGGCAAATGTCGGGACGTTGGTCTTGCATCACAACATTTTCTTAATGTACATCCCAACTTTCTCCTTACTAGCATCTCAATATTTTTCTAACGTACATCCCAAACAAGATAAAGAGATGAATAGTGTGATGTTGGTTTGGAGAAAGTTGGGATGTAGGTTAGGAAAATGTTGTGATGCAAGACCAAAATAAACATATCTTGGTACAAATTGTTTGTGAGATATATTTTTGTAATTGGCATATTTCGGTAACAAAACAAGTCCTTGTCGAGTTATAATTTCAATTACCATATCCGACTTGAAATCGACTGCGGAATGTAGAGGTTAAACAGAAGAGGAAAGTACCGTTGCTCATCGAAATGGAAAGAACAACGATTATGACATCATTTCCCACTTAGGACACAATGCTACACATGGTATATTTTCAGAGTTCAAAAAATACAGAATTTCCAAGTTCAGGTTGAATTCTGTCACGTGGGAACCGGTTCCAGAAGCTAAACTTCGAAGAACAACTCTGTGTCCTTTGGGAACCGGTTCCACAAGTCCTAATTGCAAAAGGATTCCAGTAATTCTTTTTTAATCCAACTTTCCTTTCAAGTCTTATACACGAAATTTCCTTTATTTTCAGAAGGAATAGGACTTTGCAAACCTCTATATAAACCATGTCATATTCATTGGTTTATTCACGGCTTTTACATCATTATTCATATATTATACAAAGCCTTAAGAAGTTTTTTTTCCTCAAAAAATCAAAGTTGATTTTTCTGTTGTCTTCCTAGAACACACACATATTCACCTAGTGAGTGTAGAGTTGTGGTGTTCAAATCCTGATCGTGATCATACAGTTGCATCTACAACGATCAGACGAAAGCATATCTTCTTCTACATCGAATTCAGACGATTGAAGAACAGAAGTAAAAGCGATCACACTTTGAAAAGGTTGGAGCATTTGAGGAGTGTTATCTAATCTACCTGTTACTCTTATACAAATATCAAGCATAAGTCTGAGGTCAAGTTGCTATTAGATGGGGAGTCGCAAAGCCAGAGGATTATCAGCAGTTGATGTTTGGTAGAACGATAGGGTGTGAGCCAAAGTCAAAGTCCGGTATACTTTGTTTCAAGCATAGTGGATTGGTTTACTTTGGACTGCACAGTTCACGAGGTTTTTCCCATAACAGTTGACGTATTTTATTAACTGAGGTTTCCTCGCTAAAATTCTGGTGTCATCTCTAACTTTATACTTTGCTTTATTTTATCTGCATGTGATTAATTGTTTAATTACTAAAATAAATAAAGTTGGAAAAGACACAGATCTGTTTTAAAGCAAACAAAACTTTCTAAGTATTTTTCATTGCGTACAACTCACATTGTTTATTTTGGTCTTGCATTATAACATTTTCCTAACTTACATCCCAACTTTCTCCTTACTAGCATCCCAACATTTTTCTAACGTACATCCTAAATAAGATAGAGATGAATAGTGTGATGTTGGTAAGAAGAAAGTTGGGATGTAAGGTAGGAAAATGTTGTGATATACAATTTGGACCAAGATATGTTTATTTATGTATTTGTACAATAAGTGGAATGTTGGTAAGATGAAAGTTGGGATACAAGATGGTATGTTGTATATGCAGATGGTATGTTGCATCTACCACATCCAAGAAGTTGCGGGCATACCATCTATTCTAGAACATACCATTTGTTCTATAAATGTTGTGATATAGAAGAAATTGTAGGTTAGAGAAATGTTTGTAGAGAGATTAGAAAACGTATAGATAAGAGTTGAATTAAATTTTGAGATAGTGTGGATGCAAGTACTCTCTTCAGTAGGAATATATTGGGATGTTGTGTATAACTTAGTCATGAACCAAGTAACTAAAAATCAGGATTATTTGTACAAATGTATTTGCATAAGCGTATAAGTTACAAGTACTCTCTTCAGTAGGAATATATTAGGATGTTGTGCATAATTTAGTTATGAAACCAAGTAACTAAAGCGCGGGATGATTTGTATAAATATATTTGCATAAGCCTATAAGTTAAAACTTAAATTTTAAATATTAGTTTGTCCCTAAAAATTGGATGACGTATGGATAAGAGTTTAATTAAATTTGAAGAAGTGTGGTTGCAACTATTCTGTTTAATCGGAATATATTGGGATGTTGTGTATAACTTAGTCATGAAACCAATTAACGAAAGGTCGTAATGATTTGTACAAATATATTTCCCTAAGCCTATAAGTTAAAACTTGAATTTGAAATATATTAGTTTGAATTTAAATAGTGAAGCCTAAAAATATGTGATTCTCTCTACATTTATGTTGGGATTTTATGAATAACTACTTGTGGACCTATACTACATCTATGTTAGGTTTCTTCCTAAGGTGATTCTAGCTAGTTTAATCTTGGGAATTAATAGACATTTTGTAAATTCACCGTGATTAATTCATGGTCCTCACCATCTCTTTGATAGGCGTCGATGAATTGGGTTGGCGGCAATAATTGAAATCTAACGCGTTGTTTAGTGTTTGATTGGGTGAAGAATATTTTAATACCCTTTCAATGGTGGAGGGGAGAGACGAGAGCGAGGGGGAAAGGCGCCACAGGTGCCTCTGGGTGCTGTTTACCTTGCCGGCCACCATCTAAAGAGGAGAGAAAGAATTAGGGTGATGGTGATTGAAGGAGAAAGACCGTATGTATTTCAATTTTTAGAAAAGAAAAAAAAAAAAAATTATTTGGTATAAAGTATAAAATTCTTTTTTATTTCGTATAAAGTATAAAAAAACTTTCCATACTTGTATAAAGCATTCAGTAAGTTTTTTTTAACTCAATTGACTTTGAGTGACGTGGCGCATAGAGAACCACAAGTTCCGCACCGGCTGCAACAGATTTACTGTTGTGCCGGAGACGATTTTGATCCATATCATTAACCCTTAAGTCTGGCTTATATAAAGGAAAACAAATAACCTAATTATACAAGGTTACCTAAATACACAATGATCCTAACAACTATGGGTAATTACATAATGACCCAACATAAATATATATATACATAAACATTCTAACACTCCCCCTCAAGCTGGAGAATATATATCAAATAATCTCAGCTTGGAACAGATAGTCCTTAACCGGTTATGACCAAATGCTTTGGTAAACATATCAACTAGTTGATCTTCAGACTTCACAAATAGAGTAGAAATGCTCCCACTTAATATTTTTTCCCGAATAAAGTGACAATCAACCTCAATATGTTTGGTCCTCTCATGAAACACAGGATTCGATGCAATGTGAATAGCTGCTTGATTATCACAGAACAATGGAGTAGGAGCTTCAACTGTTACCCCAAGTTTTTTTAGAAAATGTTGTATCCATGTCAACTCACTAGTGGTATGGGCCATTGCCCTGTACTCAGCTTCAGCACTAGATCGAGCTACCACTGTTTGCCTTTTATTTTTCCATGTACCAAGATTTCCTCCTACAAATGTACAGTAGGCTGTAGCAGATCTCCTATCTGAAGGAGAACCAGCCCAGTCAGCATCTGTAAAGCCTTCCACCCCGAGATGACCATTTGATTTGTATAGTAATCCAAAACCTAGAGCTTGCTTGAGATATCGGATAATCTGAAGAACAACAATCCAATGTGGCATTCTAGGAGCTCCCATGAACTGACTTACAACACTAACTGCATATGAAATATCAGGTCGAGTGATAATGAGATAAATTAATTTCCCAACAAGGTGACGAAATCTGCCCGGAATAAATCACCCTCATTAGACACAAGTTTTGTATTTGAATCCATAGGAGCATCAACCGGACGACCACCTAACATACCCATTTCTTTTAGCAAGTCCAACACATGTTTGCGTTGAGATAAACTTTTACCCTTCTTGGATCTAGCAACTTTAATACTTAAGAAGTACCTAAGTTTACCCAAGTCTTTAGTGTGGAATCGATTTTGCAGAAACAACTTCAACATAGCAATGCCTTCAGAATCATCACCTGTGATCACAATATCATCTACATACACCACAAGAAAAATGAAGCCAGCTTTAGTGCGCAGGTGAAATACCAAATGATCGGTCTGGCATCTGTTAAGGCCAAATTTTAATGTTGCCTCAGATAATTTTCCAAACCAAGCCCGTAGAGATTGTTTCAATCCATACATAGCCTTTTTAAGGCGATAAACAGTGT